CTCCTGGTTTAGCCGTATGTAAAAACATACTAAAGGCTTATTTATCTAAGCCGCTTCACAAATAAAGGGCATTCTTAGGAAAGTAGTTTCAATCTTCAAACTCAAAATGTTCTCAAGTATGTCATCAGTTAGACATTTTTGGGGTTTTTTAAACAACAATAAGGCCGTGGTAGGTCACGATTTCTCGCTTGGAAAAGACAAGAGTGGCTGCTCTGCCATGTTCTTCTGCAGACCAGCATGTGTGAGAGCTGATGAGAGGAGATGTGACCTGGGGAGATTGTGTGTAAATGCCAATATGGTTCTCTGATGGATGAGTAATAACACAAATTTGCATGTATGCACACAGTCTGGCAATGGACAGAGTGTGTGCGTAACACTCTACTCTGTCTGGGGAAAACAAGAACACTCTGTTTCAGAGCGTAGCGGGCATATTTTACAACAGCCCTCGAATCTCATGTGCACCATCGACCACCAGGCCCAGAATGCAGAGAGAAAATACATTTGTTATCAAGCGTATGCTGAGAAAACCATATGATATGCGTTGTTTGCGTTACAGTGGGCATATAGCTCAGGTTCATTTAGGTCTTCTTTTTGTACTCCATTTATGTCTTATTCTCTATTTTTCCATTTTCAATAAGAACGCTCCAAAAGGCAGATCCCAGATTCCAGTTTCTCCCTATGCTCCACTAAAAACTACATGAGAAAAATCAATTTATAGGATTTATGATTTCCACTGGACTCCCACCTTTCAATTTAATATTTTCTTAACAATCAGATCAGCCAAAAATATTAAGATATAAATCCAAGAGAAACAATGTGTCAATATGACTTTTAGCTTTTATGCACCTGTCAGACAGAAAGAATGCGTTCCAGATAAACTTGGATATAAATATTAATGTTTTCAAACCAATTTGCCTCACACAGACAGCTAACAGGATTTTAAAGAAGAAACCTTCTACATAACCATTACAGATTTAAAGAAGTAAATCACAACAAACGTTTCAAATAAAGTCACATAGACTGTTCGTCCTACTTAAAACAACTTAAGTAACCATTCCCCAAAACACATGAAAGAGTATTTCCATTTAAAAGTGCAAACCCACGATATGTTCAACAAAGAAAACCCATCTTCCCCCTAAAACTCTGTCGCCACAGAGATTAGCTTTTATATATGAAATATATATATTTAACACAGGTTTTCTATTAGGCTGCTTTCCCTTGGAAGTATCCACCCTCACAAGACTAAACAAAACAAGAACCTTTATTTCCTTTGAATTCACAACTTTTACAGAAAGCATCAATTTAAAGCAAAGTCTGCACAAGTCTTTTCAAGAAACCCTTTTGTTAATACAAAATTGTCACAGAGCTTGAATATGAAGGTAAAGTTTCTAAAGGTAATAAAACAATGTGAACATCTCAGGTTCTGTAGTTAGTACTAAATGTCATCTGCAGCTACATAAAAAACAGCCCTGTAAGCACAGTCTTCCATGCC